TCGGCTCCAACACTACACAGCATTACCCTATGTTGTGCCAGCGACTTACAAAAGGCGTATCCCGATGAAGGGAGTGAACCGTGAAATGTACAATTCGTGCATGGCCATTGCTCCTGTCTTCTCGCGTCTCCAGCTCCCGAGCCAGCCAGTGATTCGTCTGTGAATGCCCAGTCTAAGCCATATTTTTGGTTCTGCCTTTGGTGCGCCCAGCGGCAGATCTGGTCGCATTCCCATGTCAAAGCCAAACCTAGCGCGTCTGCAGGGCAAGACTGCCATCGATGCATCAACCACAGAATGTCACTTCGACCCGCCCTCGAATCTGGCAGCATCCGGGCAGCCGGAGCCAGCATGCCCCAGCGTGATCACCGGCCGCCGGTCATCCGCGCCGAATCACGCGATACCCGTGCGGCTAGTACTCCCCGGAGGTGTTCATTCAGGCTCAAACCCGGCGGACTGAGCGGCAGCCGTCGGTCGATTGAGATCAGTGGACTGAGCGAGCGTGACTGCCTGCCAGAGTCCCGGCGCAGCAGCGCAGGTGCTGTTGCTATGTGTGCGGGCAGGTGACTGGTGGAAGGATATGAATATTCAGTCGGGCCAGCGCAGTGCCTGGTGGGAGATGTCACTGAATTATCACATCAACTGGTAGTATTTTACGGCACTTGTGCAGACGTTTTGTATGCATGACAACCAGGGGCTCGGCCAGGATTTTCTTAAGTGGAGGGCAGGACAGAGCTCGGTAAGCATGCATTATGTCAATGCTTATACTTCTGTCGTGGTGAATCTATGGTGGAAAAACGAGAAAATCGGCCTTCCGGCCCTCCCCCGCCCCCCCCCCCCCCTCTCCCCCCTCGCTTTTGCTGCGTCCATGATGACAACAGATCTTTTCCCGGGACGTCGGAAACGAGCTTCAATGCATCGATAGCCGTCTCTCGCAGCATTTCACGGCACCTGTGCGTTCTGGGACACTCTCCGCAGATGTTGCTGGCTCCAGCTCCTATACCGGCACGCTTCGGCAGACCACTCGGCTCTGGACCAGTCGCAGGAGTCGGCGTCAGCGCAGCTCCGGCAGCGCAGCACCCAGTGACCTGCAACGTCAGCAACATGCGCAAAAAGCGAGATCAGTCGACGCCCGCGGCCTCGCCCGGCGCCGACAAAGCATCGATTACGATCAGCTAAATAAACGGTAAACTTCCTGGTTGTCTCCGCACACTCTTGACCCTCTATGTGATGAACGTTGACAACAAAGATCAGTGCGATGGATATGGAAGACATCAAGGCGGGTGACTCGGTGAACGACTGTCGGGTTGGCTGACGCATGGAGCAAAACGTTAGTCACGGCTTTGATTTTCCAGGAATGTCTTGTTGCAAGGCACGCTATGCAACTCAGTACGGCAACAATTTAACAACTTGGGAACACTAAAATAGCCGCGACATTTAGTCAATATTACCGAGAAGTGATTATTAGCCGGGAGGGCGAGAGCAGAGCGCCCATCTCTGTATCGATTTCAGGGACGCCACGGCCGAATTAATTAAGCGCAATGATGAGGCTAAAATGGTTGCTATTAGAAAAACGATCCATCACGAAAATGAAAGCGCGTGTTTGGGGGGATGACTGTCTGGCGAGCGCCGGCTGGGCACGAGGGCGGCGTACCTGGCGCGCTGAGGTCGGCCGCGCAGAGGGGGAGGGGGCGGCCGTCGCCCCCTGATGACGTCATCCGACCGATGGCCGAACGATGACGCTGGAGCCCACACGGACCCGGCAAAAACGGCACCGAACACGACTGCCGGGGAAATGTCGATGACGGTTATAGGACTGCGCAGTCTAAGAAATAGCCGGAAATGATGTTGGCGTTGAAATCAGAGGTTTGACGAATTGGAACGTAGATCACGCTGGGTAACGCACCACTGACTCAATGCAACGCGGGATGAATTATATCCGGCAAATTTGAACCGTCAAGTTGTCAGCAAAGGTGGCTATAAAGGTCACCAATAGAATATCGCAGCATGTTAATCACTCTGTTCATCTAGGGGAAAGACGCAGTGGTAGGACATCGAGCCATGACATTCTCAATCGCGACACTCCAGCCACTCTCAGTCAACAGCCACTTTTCCCCTTTCTCTCTCTCTCCACCTTCCCCTCTTCTTCTCTCCCGCTCTCTCTCTCCCCCTCTCCCCTTCCCCCTCCTCTCCCTCTCCCCTCTCTCACCCCTCCTCCCTCTCCCACTCCCTCCTCTCTCGTCTCTCTCTCTCTCTCTCTCTCTCTCTCTCTCTCTCTCTCTCTCTCTCTCTCTCTCTCTCTCTCTCTCTCTCTCTCTCTCTCTCTCTCTCTCTCTCTCTCTCTCTCTCTCTCTCTCTCTCTTCTCACATCTATCGCGTACCTCCTGACTCCATCCCTCTCCTCACCGTGGCGCTGGTCTTCGGGACAACAATTCACCTCCATCCAGTCTCCCTTCCCATTGAGCGATTCTAATTAGGAAAGTTGTCTTGTTCTCCGCCGGATTTATATCTGAAATCCTCTAACCAGCATCTGCGCCTCAAACCTTGCCCGGAATGAGAATTCATTTCCTTCAAGATTGGAAACAGCCACGATTTCATCGCTGCAATTTCGACCGGCATAAATTCGAATGCACAGCAAAAGCTGAGATCTTCTCGAATCTACTGCTGAGGCAGATGGAGGCAAGTTGGGGGCCGTTTTAGGGCTGAATCAGTCTGTCACAAAGACCCGGCTGGCACACCAAATAACAAGATAAGGAATTTTACCGCCTTTCACTGGGAATGCGCGGGTCAAAGAACCGAGTGTCCAGCACTCTAGGGGAATATCGTCGCAACTTTGTGCGAGACATGCCATCAAGCTATTCAGGGGCCCTGGGGTAGTCTTACCAAGGGTATAAGAGAGAAGAGGATATTGCTCTTTCTTGAGAGATTGTGGCCGCAGAGCAGGGAAAACGCAGTCAGTAAAGCTTTAGCCAGGGACGTATTTTCGCAGAAAGTGCGGGTGCCGTTGAGCTGGGGTTAACGGCTAAGCACACTTTCGAATGCACACGGAGCCGACAGTTCTAAGTCATTGACCGCCTTTCTTCTCAAATTCGGGGAGGGCTTCAGCTGCCAACCGGGCAGGAAATGACATACATGACAAAAGCTTCGAGGGTCAGTAGCTCTGTAAAGAGTTGTCAAACACAACTTTATCTGATGGAGTAAAGCGAGCTGCTTTATGTTCGACAAACTAAACATCTATTTGAGTCATCGTGAAAGCTATGCGCTGCTTATGTTGCCCTCACATTTTTCGGACACTGCGCGGGGACATCCTTCCCCACTCACAAGAACTACTCATTTAAGCACTACAAATTCTATGCACACTGCTGCGTTGGTTTAAACTGTGGGTAATGGTGCGCATCTAAGCTTTTTTTCTTTTTATCCGGAGACAACTGTCAGTTAATTCGAACGGAAAACCAGTTGTGAAAAATAGGTCTCACAGTACCTTGGATCGCAGCCTTTTGCACCCAGGGAGGTGGTGATGATCAAACTGCAGACAAGTGCTGTGTCATCTTATTCTGATGAAATCTGTCTTATTGTTGATTAAATTTGGAGGCTCATGGTCTGTTCACACAGCTGTTTATTAGTGCTATGGACGCGCGACAAAAGCAGGTAACGTCAATAGAAAGATGTGGCATGTAGCCCATACCCAAGGGAGCTGGAACTGGCATCTAAGTCGGCTCGCTTGTTGCAGGGGAAGCCAAACCTAAGATTCAAATGTCCGCTTGAACAATCTTGAGTATTCAGGCATGCAAGACAGCTGCAATCGATGAGCCACCGCTGATCATATACAAATGTGACGAAAATAAGTCATTCGCGAAGCATTCAAACATGCAATCCGGCTCCCTGGGGCTCCTATCTCCACAAGACTACCGCGCGTGATCAGAGGAGGAAAGGAGAGAACGGCATGAATCAAGCACGCAATGGCGATAGCTGCCAAGAAGCGTACCGCATTCAGCAGAAGTATGACGTGGGCAGTTTCATGTATTGTAACGTGTGGTCATGTAAGTTAGTTTTTTAGTTAATACTGAGAACACGAACAAAAACTAGAAAACTATGTTGTATAAATATTCTCCAATTCGCCATTTGTTGGCAAATGAAGACGAGCTTTCATGCAGAGGTTACTGAGGTTTGCCGACAACTCTTTTAGATTCGGTCTGACTTTCGGCAATACGCGAGGAATCAGATGTCGGCGCATGCGCACACTTTGAGAAGTTATGGCATCTGGAAACCTTTAACTGTAGCCCCACGCAAGCATAAACGAACAAGGACCAAGTTTGGTACCAAATATAAAATGAGTGGAAGGTAAGATGAATAAAGAGAAACTCGTGGAATGAAGCCAGGTTTATCAGGTAATTTTATTTACTAGGGAAGCGCTCTTGTTTCGTCATGATGCATTTATTGGTAATTTCATGTTTGCAGACCTTTATGACTTGGTCTCCTGGTACCAAATTTTATAACGTAATATGAATAATAGGCACAAAAGGTGTCTGAAAATTGATCGAGCAAAAAGCTTTTGGAACAAAACTCACCGGCTATTTGGATAGTTCTGACGACAAACGGCGGGTTTGTTTTCGCTTGTCCTAGTTTTTGTACATGTCAGATTTCGTATGAAATCAGGTCACTCCCGCACAATGTGTGGGAAGATATATGAGTTGAGAACATCGCTGTAAAAAATAATTGCCAGAAATATTTTGTCTTTGGACATGGGCATGTTGTGCATTTCATCTGTAGTTATAACAGCTTAGGCAACTTGTGCTCACCAATTTTTTTTAATAAATTTGACCCGAACCCTTTGAATGGATGGATTTCGGGGACCAGCACTCACGCTAAGCAGTGCTTGTTGTGTGAGCATTGACCCCCACCACCCGATCGCGCAATTCCAGGCAACGGCAGAATTTGGTGGCGAAAGCTTAACATGCCGCAATGGTCGGCACGGTCCGTCCTGCTCTCTGACGTCAACTGACCTTTAGCGCTGCCACCAGCCGCGGGCCATGCCTGTCAAGGGCAAATGGCGAGCGCCCTAAAGCGACTTGAACCCGCCCTGCCACGGGCGGGTGGAGCGGAATACAGGCGCCCTAACCAACTGAGCCACCGGAGCGGATAAATCTGTAAGAATCTGCATAAAAGAGCCCAGGAGCACTCAGCCCCGATGTTGTCTTTACCTCCGCCAGTCATCGACCTTCTGCCGCGGTATTCCTCAGTGTCGCCTTCACCATGAACTGAGCGGGGCCAGGTAACTGATTTGCAACAGCAGTGTTCCAGCATTACGGAGTAGTATTCTCTGTTTGTAGCATAACGTTGGGCACGTGGAGGAATGATCAGGCAAAGATCCCGGAACAATGAAACGAACAACTTTCCGTGAAAACACTATAACTTAACCAATTTAAATGAAGGTTTAGAACACCGTTGCACCCAAATTAGCCTATTCTCTACCCACGCCTCTAGCCTCTAAGCCGAAGCTCCTCTTGCGCGAGCAGCAATAATGCTGCTGTGCTACACTGTACCGCGTATGGTTGGCTGACTAAAGTCGGCTCCAAAAGTGTTTTAATTGTCCCTAATTTCCCCACGCCAGGTACAAATGGGAAATTTGGAATGCAGATCTATCCCGGCAAAATTCAGGCACGTCTGGCAAAGCTAAATGCTGGATTAGCGACACTTTTGACGATCGAAAATACCCAACAACTGTAAGCTAAGCCCGAACTAAAGGTGAGCACTACACGTTCGTTTATTGATTAAAGCTCACTGTTTTAAGCCAAATGTTCTATATTGGCATACGTTTCGCTATATTTCGGTGCTCGGATGACTCCATATGCTTAAACCTATTTTCGACAGCACTGAGACGTAAATTTTGGTCGAATTTTCTAGCATGTCTCATCCGATTGCTGAACTCTTACTCCAGGAAGAAGCCCTAACGTCTGATAGAGAGGCATCATCTCCGCGTTCAAACATTACCTGCCGCAGAAAGCAGACCATTTGTTGCACAGTGGCGACATCTGCGCTTGATCCAGGTCGATCCCTTTGGAATGTGACCTGGTACGTCTCGAGGACCGTTGAGTTTGGGTGTGTTTTGGAGTTGTCACGCACCACGTGAAGCAGCACAGAGCTGTTGCCAACGCCAACTGGAATCGTGTATGATCTGGTGGAAGAGACATCTAGTGTCAGAAAACCTAAGCTTAGTTTGTTTGAGCTCTCTCAACGTGACGGCCCAGAACGGGGCCCAGAAAGGAGCCGAGCTATGTAGAATGAGATGGAGTAGGGAAACACTTAACAGTGCGGTGAAAAACACATTACTACGGGTGCAGAGACCAGGGAGCAAGAGGTGGTTGAGCCCACAGGCTTTCTGAAAATATGACGTTGGTGTGGGTATGGGTGTGGGTGTGGGTGTGTGGGTGTGGGTGTGTGGGGGCGTGCAGTTGTGGGTGGGTGGGTGGGTGTTATAGGAACACGCGCAATTTGCTGATAGGATCTAGACAGAAGCACCTTGTCTTTGGGTAGGATTTCCGTTATCCCACTACGCATAACACGAACCTTCGCTCTTGTGAACTCCATGTCACGCAACGGTAGCTGTGAGGTGCGGTCTGACAATGGCTGATGCAGAGCTGAATTTATGCGTTGAATGTGCACCCACTGAATCATTGCTAACTATGCCTACAAGTTGGTAACAACGCAAACGATTCTCAATATCCTTACAGTTTCCTTTGGCGGATGCCAGGGACCTGCACTTCCTGCTCGCAGTGCTGGGCCTGCGCCGACAGCTGGACCTGGAGTTGACCCCAGTTGACCTTGACACGGTATGACGTGATGAGGGGTGAGAAGGCAGGCTCCAACTGCAGGTCGCCAGGCCCCACGGACAGGGTCGCCAGTCCGGAGCCGTTCGCCGAGTCTGGAAGTTTGCCTTCATGAGCTGTCATCGGGTGTGGATGGCAGTGAAGCCGGGCCATTGGGCTGCCCCAAGTAACTGCTCTATGCTCTACACTCTTCGTGACTGCTCTTCATCTCTGGGTAATCCTGTATCTGTATTTGGGGATTTTGGGCAGGAGGAATTTACAAGCCTTAGGAGGGAGGCACCAACGTCATGAAGTCTGCATCATTCTTTTGAGAAACCAAAGCATGCTTGCATTTTATTTGTTCCAAGCAGGGGTGCACTCAGACTCCCGGTAAAGGAGGAGGGGACAAATGGTTGACAAAGAGCCTTCTGATGGTGAAAGCTCCTAATAAAGACCAACACCGAATATGGCTTGTTTTCGAGCGGGGTGCGATTTGCTCCGTCCTTTTATTTTTGCATTTTTACTGTGAAACAAGCCAGAACCTGTCGAAAAATGTGATCATGTTTGCATTTTGAAGTCAAACTGGAGCAGGGGGGAATTAAATGACAGCATAGAATAATCTACCGGCGCTTTTCATTTTGCAAACATTTAGTGGACCTTCTCTTAACCGAAAGAATCTTTAGGGTTTGCCAGAACCATTGTTCTGAATATAACAGACCTCATGAAAACCCCGTAAACGTATATTGTGGATCAAAATAGGGCCATAACTTTGCATCAATATGGTCAAAAAATGTTCGTCGGAGGTTGTTCAAGCTCAAGTCAGAATCGCTTATGAGTAAATCATATAACATAGTTTTTAACACGCGCGTTCGCGCTCTTAGAAACAAAAACCCAGATGCGCCGCGCTGCAGTCTCCGTAGGTTGCGCCGCGTTGGTCCTGCGGCTAACACTACGCAACGGCAACAGGCGGACGAAAGTAATAACATGTCTGAAGGAAATACCTTTGAACGCTTTAGGTCATCAATTCGTAAATTTTGAAGGCAATCCTGGCGTGTGTATCATCTGCGTGATTTAAGGATTGATAGAAGGAACGGATTAGTACGGCAACAGGCGGACGAAAGTAGAAACATATCTGAAGGAAATACCTTTGAACGCTTTAGGTCATCAATTCGTAAATTTTGAAGGCAATCCTGGCGTGTGTATCATCTGCGTGATTTAAGGATTGATAGAAGGAACGGATTAGTATTTACGCCATCGTTAACTGGTGCTGAAATCTGATGTTGGAGCAGGACGAGTGAAGGCAGAATTTCTATTTTTCTTGTTGCTGTAGCTGCTCATCTGCAAACAGAAGATCCTCAAAATAAAAAAAGGTGAATTACAGTATCAGGTCTAATCTCTCAACGGCGCGCATTGATTTTGAAATGTTTTCGGAAGCATTATTTCATGACGGTCGTTCTCGTGCGGCTGGTGCTCGTCGCCTGGCGTTATCTGCAGCGACCAACACCGCTCGGTTTAAAGAAAACTGCAATCCCGGCCATTGCTCTTTTATACGTCTACTCTGTTGAACGATGGACGTTCTCAGGCAAACACGGGATAGCATTTCTTATTTTTGACTTTATTTTGGTTCATTCTATTCAACACTAACGAGACCCCTTACTTTTTTCCGAGCAGAAGGTCTGGCGGGTAAAATCTTGAGGAGCGCATTGTCCTTCCGGTCAAGGGCCGCTGGCTGAAGAGCCACTCCGTCTGAGCGCGTGGTGCCTACACGCTGCCATTCTAGCGACACGGCGGCTCTTAGACAGATACATTATATATTGTTCGCTGTCCTAGCGCGGGAAATCCATGGCCCCGGTATATTAACGTTGTGGAGGCCCAGAATAAAGCAGGGCCTTCTTTTGTCTCATTGCGGACTCTCATCACAAGTTCGCAAGCTTCCTTTCATTATCAGATGGCCCCGGCCAACGCAATAGGCCCTCTCACATTTGGGGTTCCACCGCTGTTCCTGCTCAGCAAATGATTCCCCGGCCGACTAGGGCCCCTTGGTGACACATGGCCCCTGTTAGGCACTGTGGGTCCCTGATCGACACAGGGGCCTCTTATTGTCTCAGGGGCTCCAACCAATGTAAAGCCCTGCGCCCGACCTTGTCCCAGCTTGGGAAGTGCGCCCCCAGGACTCAGACCGGCACGGGGCCGGCTGTTCGGTGTTTGGTGGTCTCTGGGCGCAGTAGGGGTCCACATTGCTCCATGGTGTCCGCAGTCGGTGTGAGCTACACTCCGGCTGGCATCTGGGGTCACGGCCCTACGGACTGAGGGTCTTTATCTGAACTACCGTCAGCCATTCGTCTATTCGGGCACTTCAGCCATCCAGTCGGGATCGTGAACTTCGGTCCCG